TACTGATGTATAACAATAATACATAATCTTTACATCTAATATAATGCTTTCCACATCAGGAGGATGTCTCAAAGAGGTTCACAGGATTTACTGTATTACAGCTTAATGACTGTGCATTCTGTAGGCAAAAACTTGCAGCCAATTTGCACACACAATGCCAGGAGAAAGGTGTCTTTTCTTTTCAATATGACAAACAAAACTCTAGTATTACACTATTGGAAGCGTAGGTTAGTCATTTGCCAATCAGGAGGGAACAAAAATCAGGAGGCACAGAAATCAGGAGGCTAGTTATCCCAGACTGATCTCAAGCGGCTACCAACAACCTCTTCAAAATAGCCATTAGGAGACAGACGCCTGGGAGCACAGAACTGATTTGCCTGAATGAGATAACACAAGCAACATTTTACTGTGATTACAAAGTAAGCACTAAAAACTAAAAAACGGTGAAATTTTCCTAGCAAGTAATAATTACACTGCATCTCTGAGTTGATAGCTTCCTAGCAACTCCCTTCATTGGTAGGAAGTGTCACAGATTTCAGCAATCTTTTCAACTTCCAAGCTATTGTTTAATGAAACACAGCAATTTTACTGCTCGAGAAAAGGTGGTGGCGTCTGGCAGGATTACTCTGCATCTCATTTTTATCCACAGGAGACTGACATTTTGACATGTAAAGATTTAATTCTATAGTGCTGGCATTATAATAATCCTGCCATATTATACAATAGATAAGGGATTATCTTTGGCAAAAAAAGAGCAGAAGTTGGCAGTGTTTCTTTTTAAAAAAAAAGCATTGCAGTTGACTGGGCTGATTTCTAGATTTATTGAGTTATTTGATACTTGGAAAAAAAATTCACCACCAAGAACATGAAATAAAACTCAATAAAATTATCCACTGCAGTCAGTTTCTCTTTAAAAAGCAAAATAATTGAAATCATCATAATAATAATCCTTGCATTTGATATAGTGCCTTATGATGTCTTTGAGATGTCTCAAAGCGCTTCCCAGAATATTTAGTAAAGTGAATTGATTGTCTATTTTGTGGGCAAAGGGTTACTACAAAACCATTTGTAGTAGAATCACAATATTCGTAACAAATAGTTTCATTTTTCTTTATTTCAATATCCCTAACAAAGGGGCATGAATATGATAGCCACTAATAAATCTGAAAGCATTTAAGAGGAACTTCTTTATACAAAGGGTGACAATGTGAAATTCACTGCCAGAAGCAGTAATTGAAGCAGAATACATCAAATTATTTAAGAAGAAACTCGTATATACACAAGGGAGAAGGGAATAATGGGGTAAGGGAAAGGGCAGGCTTAGGTGTGAGTTATTAGGAAAAATGGAGGCAAAACCAGCACCAACTAGTTCGGCTGATGACCCGTTTCAGTGCTGGAAAATCTATGTAATTTTACATTTTTAAAAAGTGAAGCTGAACACATGCTACTCTTTCAGAGCTGCCATTTTACACACTACTTTTTCACTCACTTGCTCACGGACCGCATTACACAGACAAGTTAAGTTAACCTCATTATAATAACTGACCCTTTGTTGACAGAGGGGTCAAGACAAACTGGGGTCAGGAAAGCACTTTGAAAAAAGACTCTCAAAAGAACATTATAATTAAATAAGCAATGTTGCTCTAAGAGTAAATTACTTTACAGATGGAAAAAGCAGACCCTTGTCACAAATTCACTTTTCCACAGTTGTTATTTGAACCCAACATAAATTGTTCACTACCATGTACTTCCCACATTATGTTACTAAAACATAAGTTAAATAATAATATTTGATTGTTGAAATTATTCTCCATAGCAGCAGTCACATAACTACATTCACATTTGCCAGTAAACTAAGGAGAGCAACATCTTATTCTCTTTTTATGACAGCCATTACCACATTCTGTTCTCTTTATGATTCAACTATGGATCATTAATGGGACAGATTATAGTACAAGAGGATACAACTTCACTATAGATCAGTAGTCTAGTTCAGAATTTTTAAAAAAACAGAAAATAATGCAAGTAGCAATGCAGGGCCACAGAAAATGGGAAATAAAATACAAGGGGCTCAAGTCAATTTACTTTATGGTTACCAAAGATCTCCAAAGTATTGTTCTTTCTGGGGCAGTTTTTTTGGAGGGCCATGAGCTCCAATGAACCAGAACAAGGCACCGCAGCAGAAACGGTTATAGTCAGCAGCCAGTCACCCAACAACACTAGAATTGTAATCTTAGCATTTTTCACTTTTTATAAGATACAATTCTTTTCTAGATGAAGATTAAGAGAATTTGCCATCTCATCAGTCTATAAAAACACGTTCTGGTATTGAATAATCCAGCATACTAGAGAAATGACTAAATACTTACATTTCTAACCATCTATCAAAGAAAAATGTTCTCCCTCGCACTCCATTACTTCAATTACTGCTCCATATTCATAAGGGAAGACAAATTTATACTATGCTTTGTCACAACATTTATATCCCCCTTTGTCTCCACTGACTTCAAATACCTATTGGGTGGAATTAATCTTTCCATTACTTGTGTACCACAGATCTAGCAAATAGTTTCCTTATTTTAATTACCTTAATCTACTGTTTTCACCTATACTATACAGAATAATATACAAAGCAGAAAAATAATTCAAGCTATAAAGTAATAAACAGATAAAAAAAATTATCCTTGCATTTGTTAAACACCTATAACTGAAACGTTTCCAAGGGCATCAAAGGGAACTGAAGAAATTCACAGAGAAAATAAGAATAAATTAATATTTTTTTTAAAAAATATTTTTTTAGGTGATGCCAACCGCAGTCGTATCACCCTGGAGGTAGTGGTCTCCAAAGTATGGGGGACAGTAACATGCAGGCAAACAAAAATTATAGTAATTATACTGCAAAAATATATTAATCTGAGCATATACTGGAGTTTAAGAGTTCATGAGCAAAAAAAACCCAATCTCTCCCCACGCCCCCCATAAAGATCACTTGGGTGAGATGAAGAGCATTCAATGCCAGTGAAACCTTGCCTCAAGTAGAAGACAAAAATAAAATTAAAATGTTTTTAACAGAGAAGGGGGAACAACAGGGCAAAGGAGCCCTTTTTTAAAGCAATTTTGACATTTATTTATAATCTTCATTTGATGCACCAAATAAATGGAAAGTAAACAATGTAGGCATGTTATAAATTAATACAAAAGATCATGAAAATGTATATGAAAGATTAATATCTCTAGATAATAATAATTTACTAAATGAATGGAAATATCAAATCTAAGAAGTTAGCATGTAAACTTCATGGCGGCACTGTAGCATGGTACTGTTAATAAACTAACATAATTGGCTAACACACTATCAATGGTGACAACCACTATAACTTGAAAACAAATATGAAATAAACACCAGTGCATTTGGAAGCAGTGATTAACTGTACAAAAGATGCAACTCATTCATCCGACCTTCACAAAAATAATCCATATAGTTTCTAATGCAGATAAACAACCGATCAAATGCACATCACAGGTTTGCTTTCAAGCAAGAATAATGCAGCACTCAGCATTTACATGTTGTGGTTCAAGATTCTATCACTGACAATAGTTGACACTGTAACTGCTTAATGTAATCAGATATGCACCTGTCATGGAAAATTATACGTATGTACAGTAGTATTTGTAAAACTGTAAATCCATTGTTAAAAACTATATGCTACTGATTTAAATCAAAGTGATATACGTTTAATTTCCAAGTACTGTGTATATTTGATCTAGATAGGTGAATAACAGTATCCACTGCAACAACAACTTGGATTTATATAGCGCCCTCCACGCCGGACGGCATCTCAGAGCGCTTTACAGTAACAGATCCCGGCGCCGAGCCAGGGGGAAGGGGAGGAAGGTGACAAAGGCGCGGTCGAAATGAAAGATCTTCAGCAGAGACCTGAAGATAGGAAGGGAGGGGGCGAGGCGAAGGGAGTGAGGAGGCAGTTCCAGAGCCTCGGGGCACAGTGGCTGAAGGCACGGCTGCTGAGGTTGGAGCGGAGGACTCGGGGGACGAGGAGGAGGACAGACCTGGAGGAACGAAGGCAACGGGTACTGTGCTGAGAAGAGAGGAGGTCAGACAGGTAGGGGGGTGCAGAGGAGTGCAGGGACTTGAATACAAGAGTGAGGATCTTAAAGTCGATCCCCTCTGGGACAGGCAGCCGGTGCAGTCTGGCAAGGACTGGGGTGGTCAGGGAGCGGAGTTTGGTGCGGGTGAGAATGCAGGCGGCAGAGATGTGAATGATCTGGATTTGATGGATTCAATTCTAGGTTTGTGCTAAAACTAGAAATGTAGAATTTAGCTTCCCCTGCAGGGTGGTAACATAGCTCCACTGTGCTGATTATTTGAGGATTATCGTAACCTTGAGCACAAATTAACCTGTAAAACCACAGATGACCTGCAATATGACGCACCGTAAATAATGCCTGCGTTTTTGTCACGCAAACCTCATAACACTCTTTAAACACTGCAACCCATTGAAATCGTTGTTCTGGATCCTCCTCTCCCTTTACCCCACGGAGTGCGAGTTACGTGCTTGGCACAGAAGTTGGAAGCAGCGATTAACCCGCAAGGCGGGGGGAGGGGGGGAGGTCCTGCTCTCAATAACAACGAAAAGCAAAAATGCACATCTGCATTATGTAGTCTGAACAGAAAATCCGCATTTTGGATCTTCTGCCCCTTCACCTCCTTCCCCCCTCCCCCCCACACACCCCTCCCCCCCCACCCCCGTCCCCCCCCCACCCCCGTCCCCCACCCCCCGTCCCCCTCCGGATCGCCGCCAATACGGTAAATCGTCAGCAGTGGGAGCAGACACTGGAGGGGGAGCCATTGCGACCCGGAGTGTCAGGAGGACAAGTTTCCATCGTTCATTCCGACACTGCAGCAGCTCCAGCTGCGACCTGCCGACAACTCAGCCTCTCCCTCCTCCAAACAACACACACACACACACAATGGCACTCACTCGTCGTCCTTCATGATGTTTTCCTCGGAGATGGGTTTGACGGGCGCGATGTTCTCGGTGTTGGTGTTGTAGTTCCGGAAACACACGGTCAGCTTCTCGTCGAAGTCGTTGACCAGGTCCTCCATGGACTTGAAGCTGACGATCTCTCCCGAGAAGTTGTCCAGCTCGGAGAAGTCCTCCAGCGTGCCCTCCAGGGAGCCCACCGCGCCGCTCTTGCCGGCCACGCCGTTGGAGTTGACGTGGTCCAGCGTGTGACCGTCCTGGCAGGGCTTGAACTCGTAGAAATCCTGCCAGTCCTCGTCGAACTGCGCTAAGGGAGCCGCCATGATCGCGGGGCTCGAGCGAGCGCACCAACCGCCTCGCCTTCCGACACTCGCGCCGCGGAGCGCGCACACGCACGCACGCGCCGCTTTCCCCCGACGCAGAGAGCGGCGCGGGCGAGCCGCTTTGATTGACAGCGGGTCGAGTCGGGACGGTGTTGTCTCCCCGCCCTCTTATCCGCCGGTTGGATTGACAGCTGCCATAGCAACAGTCGGGGACGGCGGGCGTCCGCGGCGGTGGCTCCTCCCCCTTCCGTTCAGCCGCCGACCTCATATAGGAGGGGCGCGACTACGCACATGCGCAGAGCGAGCCGGAGGAGGGAGCGGGGAGGGCTCCGTTCTGCCGTTATGATGTCACTTGGTGAGTGACAGCAGAGAAGTTACGCCCACTTTGTCTACGTCACGAACCACAAGGGCTTGAGAGTTGTTGCAGGTCCAAAGGTAAACAAAGTGCTCCACGTTGGCCTCTGCCTATTGCACATTGCACCGGTCTGGCTCGGTCATCAGCATTCTCAGTCAGAAGATTGTGGGTTCAAATCACCCATGCTGGGATGTTGAGCTCACGCTTGCTTGGCTGATGTTCCACCACTGCACTCTGACGGCGTTGCATCGTTCGGATGAGACGTTAAGTCGAGGTGTTGTCATGTTGGAAGTTAAAAATCCCATAGCACTAAAAAAAAATCCTCGCGTTTGATATAGTGCCTTTCACTATATTATTATTATAGTGCCTTTCGCGTCAGGTGGACATCTTAAAAGTGCCTCATAGGATATGTTGTAATGTGTCGTAACCAATACAGTGAGGGCTCAAACTTGGATTTGTCAAATGTCAAATGAACAACTAGTAACTATCCTCCTTTTGGAGGGGGAATCGAGTCAGCCCTCTGTGGTGGTCTTGGTAGTCCCGGTCCTGAGCCAGACCGGTCCCCAATACTCCAGGGCATTGATGATGACAGATCAGCCAGCTTGGCTCTTTGAATGAACTTGGAGGGACAGACCAGTCACTGGGGCAGAGATACAATCCACTCCGCTGAGCGGAGGGAGTGGACAGGTTGGTAGGGGGGTTAGGAGGTTACAGAGGTGGGGAGGAACAAGGTCGTGGAGGGCTTTGAAGGTGAGAACCAGGATCTTGAACTGTATCCTCTGAGTGATCAAAAGCCATTTGAGCCAGGCGAGGATGGGGGTTATAGGATCGCGGAGCCTGGTGCGGGAGAGGACACGGCTGCAGAGTTCTAGATGATCTGCAGCCTGTGCAGAGAGGACTCAGGGAGGCCGACTAGCAGGGAGTTTGTGTCGTCGAGCCTGGATGTGATGAATGAGGGTCTCACTAGCCTGCGGTGAGAGGCAATGCCAGAGCCGGGCAATGTTGCAGAGGTGGGGAAAGGCGGAATGGGTCATCGCACAGATGTGAGGGATGAAAGACCATTGAGGGATGAACAGGATGCCGAGGTTCCATATTGGCTCCGTGCAGTGTTGATTGCATCCATGGATGGTGATGCTGTCAGCTCCCAAGGTATGGAGCCGCTGACAAGAGCCAAGCAGGAGGGCCTCGATCTTGTTGACATTGAACTGAAGAAAGTTAGCTCTCATCCAGGACTTGACAGGCAGTCTGTGACGACAGGAGTGGTCCTGGAGTTGAGGTGAGGTGTCTACAGATGATGTCACCAAGAGGAAGAATGTAGATGTTGAAAAGGAGGGAACCAAGGACAGAGTCCTGAGGGACGCCACGCATGATGGTGCGGGAGCTGGAGGAGAAGCCGTTAGTGGCAACAAAATTGAGCCGGTGGGAGAGGTAGGATTCGAACCAGGCAAGAGCAGGTCTGTGAAGATTGAGCTGAGAACGGTGGTGTAGGAGGATAGAATGGTCGACAGTGTTGAAGGCAGCAGAGAGGTCGAGGAGGACAAGGAGGCAGAGAGAGCTCTGGTTGCAGATGGACAGAATGTTGTTAGTGACTTTGACCAATTATCACAAATACTATATTTTTAAAATATATTTATAGTATGTTGCTGATTGTTTGTTTGACTGAGTATTAGGCACAGTTTACATTGAAACAAGGAAACAATCTTGCAGTGTCTCATTGAACTTAAATAAAGAACATTAACAAAATGAGGCCTAATGGGTCCCAAGATATATTAATCTTTACTGCAGGCTTCGGAGCATTTATTTCTTACTGATCTTGCTGGATGCAGCTCCTTCACAGGAAGTGTGAAGGAGCTGTGCTAATCTTGTTTGGCTTCTCTTTCATATTTTGACCAAAGCAGCAGAATCAAGTTTAATTTGTTTGTTGTTTTATTTTGTGTTAAATATAATTTGAATTGGTGATATTAATTGTATAACATTCTGTAGAACCCTGATAGGGCCTTGGGTATATTGAATAAAATTGTAACCTTGTCTTGGTTGCTCTCTCATTCAACAATCAATAACAAAGTAGTAATCCTTTTTGCTGACAGAATAATCACTGATATTACCAATCATTCAGATGAAAATTCCTGGGGAAGCAACGATATGGAAAAGATAGAAACTAGCTTCCTTAGCTTCTGCCAACATCTCCTCACTTCCAGCTCTGAATTCCTCAATCTGCGCAGACTCTCTCTCAAACTCATCAAAACAGTGCACAACTTTGATGCTCAGTTCAGTCCTCAGCTCTCCTTTCTACCTCATATCTGGTTTTTGACCCAAAAATGCTTTTCTCCATCTTCATCACAACATTCCAGTTCCCCTCCTATCTCACAATGGCTGCCCAACCCATTATTTGCTACCCCTCGTCTGAGCTCTACCAGATACCCTTGGAGCTAATATGGAGGGGCTGCCTCCCCTACAATGAAGAAGGGAGTTTCTTCTGGTGTCCTGGCCAAAAATCCAGCACTCTCATCTCTGAGTCAGAAGATTGTGGGTTCAAGCCCTATGCTGGGACTTTGACCTCACGGTCTAAGATAACACTCCAGTGCAGTGTTGGGGAGTGCTGCATTGTCAGAGGTCTTTTGTCCTTTGGATGAGAAGTTAAACCAAGGCCCATCTGCCTGTTCGATTGGACATTAAGGGTCCCATGACACTGTTTGAAAAGAAAAGGGTTTCTCTCAGTATCCTGGCCAACAATCCCCCAGATGAAAAAAAATGGTCATTCACTTCATGGCTGTTTGTGGAACATTGTGTGCAAAGTGGTACTGCATTCACTGTACTTTTCAATAAATTCCTGTAAAGTGCTTTGAGATGTTTTGGCAAGTTTTGATAACATGATATGGCACTAAAGTATATCAAATTTCAAGGATTATTATTTTGAAAAAAAATGGTCAGTCACTTTTGACTGTTTGTGAGGCATTGCTTTGTTGTGCAAATTGGCTGCCACGTTTGCCTACAAACAAAATGTACAGTGGCTAAAGTCTACACTTTGAGACATTTTTGTAGCATGGTAAGATGCTACATCAAATACAAGGATTATTTATCATTGGGTCTACTTCTGTTTTTGCCACAATTTTTTCTTTTCCATCTGAAATGCCATGTTGTGTTTCCCATACAATTACATTCAGGGATTAGAGGCTTCTTTTCATTAAATTAGCGAAGATGATTGGCAATGTGTTCTGAATTAATTGTTCACCTGATTACTCCTGGGGCTGGGAGAGGAGCTGTATGTTTCTGATCTGGCAGTAAATTACCAGGAATTTTGCTAATTTACAGTTAAAATTGCTTGAATGGCCACTGATTGAAAATGGACACCAACTTGCTTGAAGAATGTATGCTAAGGGGTTATATTAACAGACTCATTAGTATCTCAATCTGCATTAAACATTTACTCCTTAGGTCTAATTTTGTTAATTACATTTGGTGCAGTTCACTAACTGTTTATTGCAGGGTATATTTTGCTGCATCTGGTAAGACGATGGGCTGCAAGTTTCAGTTCATAAATGGCATAATTAGTTCAAAAAGGATACTGCAGTTTTTCAAACTGTACTCTGACACAGCCACGGTATTGTAAATAAAATTAATCCCTGCCCCCTTACCAGCAAAGATCAGAACAAGTTGACATCCTTTTGCTGGGCCAGCAAGCAAATGAAGGGAATGTGGTGGCATAAATCAATAAAATGTGGGTTGCTCCCTATGATTCTTGGTTCAATTGGTAGTACAGTACCTTTATCTCTGGATCAGACATCATGTGTTCAATACCATGTCAAGATTTGAGCTCATAGTCTAGCTGTTCTTCCCCTCCTGGAAAAGAGAAGCACATAAATATTCCTGTACAGTAGGAATAGGACCACTTAGGTACACAAAGGAAAGTTGAATCATAGCAACAAGTACAGTAAATCTCACATAAGTCTTATCCTTATAAACGGAATAAATGCCTAAGTCATACATTCACCTGAGTCCCATTCAGCTTCCTATGAAAACCACTTAGATGTCTTTATACTACTCATATTACTCACCTCCTAACTCGTAAAGCTCCATCACTCCCATGCTTACTGGAAGCCTTGAAGTGTGTTAAATGACATTATTTCCCGTTAAAGCAGGCACACTGACCGACCGGCTGCGGTGAATTGTGGGGTAAGTAGTCTTCATCTGTCGACGCATGCGCAGAAGAACTTAATTTCCCACGATTCAATGCAATTCAAATTTTTGCCAGAAAATTCTCATGGGCTGATGTGTCGAGAAGCATTGAATTGCGACAAAAATAGTCTAACCTGTCACTGCATGCAGACTTACCAGCTGCAATGACAAATTACCACATGCGCACTTACCACCTACATTAAATCGTACATGCTCAGTGTAGATTATTGATTAAATAAGATTTCTACAACTTTTACAGTTTGTCTACAACTCAGACTTTGCCTAAGTCATATTAAATGCTATGGTCCTGACTGATATGTGAGTGTGACTGTAATACATGAAACAAACACTGTACAGACAGTGATATATTAACAAGAGTGGAAAAGGTAAGGTATTAGAATTGAAAATAGCAGATTTGTAAAAGATTATACATACCATAGTGGGAGAGTGTCTTAGATACTTTTATAAGGTTTCAGCTCATGCTGAATAAATTATATTGAGGCTGGCAACCCTCTGGATCTGGT